TATACAGTACACTAGAGTCTTGTACTGAATGAAACTGTAGGAACTATGTTAGTTAATCGGCTTACTAGTAGAACATTCACTGGAAAAATGGAGTATTATTTATAACACAAATTTAGCAGTAAATGAATTACAATTGTGAACTGAATTACAGTTATTCATGATTCAGCCTGGCAATAACAGTGAACGTGAAGTAGTTTGAACCGAATAGTACAGTAGCCATCAAAACACTTAAACACACTAACATAGATGGATGTGGTGATCAATTATGCCAAAGGCCTTTGCATGCACAGCACAGAATGATTAGAATAAACGCACCTGTTTAATCATTGCAATCAATATTCCTCTCATTAATTTAACCACACTCTGTAAAAGAAAAAAGAAAATTCAGAAATCAGATGGAATGAGAATATCAGCATGAATGGAAGATGACTGGTATACTAAGTAGTGTAGTGTTCGGTGTTACTGTGTGAATGGCAGAACCATGCTGGGATTAAAAATAGAAGGTACAGTAGTAAAAGGAAACTGACAAATCAAGTATTCTAGTATACACATTAACCTTTCAACTGAGTATTTCAGTGAACATTCCATATTTGCACGTTAGTCACAAAAACATGGAATGTAAAAAATGTATCTACTTGTGAATGACATCAAGTTTCAAGACTACATCTCATAGTAAAAACAAAAAGAATATCTGTTGCTTTTTGTAGAGCAATATACATGTATGAAGGAAAAATGAACATGCATTAGAATGAGACAATAGTTTGATTTTGAAAGTTTTTGTGAAATTTATGAAGTCATCTCAGACAGAAGTGTAGCTCTGGAACCAAATTTGGCAGCTGTAGTAGAGTTATCTGTGAATTACCTGTCAGGTTCAGGTTGACTGCATTTGAGCAAACAAACTAACTGGCCTTTAAAACATTGCATACAACAAATATTGAGTTACATTCTAACTGTATCACTTACTAGGTTTTACACGACAAGATGGTTGCCAAAGAGTTTATACTAATTTATCAATAAATATGTGTTTATATGAGGCTATCACAAAAATACTACAAGGTATGCACCAAGACAGTATGGAGATTGTATCAACAGGAGTTTAGCCGAGGCTGATGCAACTCTGTATACTTTGCATGAATCACATGATAACCTTATTAATAAACATTTTTTCCTGCTTGTACTAATAATTGAATGAGAAAATAAATGCTTTGTGTTATGCAAACATTTGCAGTCAGTGAAGGGATCCTACAGATACATGTAGGGCTTGTGAGTTGAACATGCTGTCAGTATCCTTGAATGTGTCAAATATGACATAGTTTGGGATCAAGTGCTGACACAGCTTTTTACAAAATGGCATATTTGATAAATTTTGATGCTACATGCATAATAGTACTATTCTTATACATGTACATATATTTGCTCTATAAGAGGTGACTCCCCAGGTGAACAAAAAAAACAGTTCTGCTGAAAATTTAATGGTACAAAACACTGAACAATATTTCAAAACGGTTATTTAGATATACCCGTAAAATCTGTATTTGAAGCCGTATCCCTAATAAAAGTCGCACCCATTCTTTTTGAATAATTGATAACCAAAAATTCATCATTTCTCATATGTATAGATGCTCTAATAGAAGCTGCATTCCCTCCGTTACATTGTACCATTTTAATAGAAGCCGCGGTTTCTAATACAGATTTTACAGTAAGCACATATGATATATGGGAACAGTGTCAAACGTCAGTGTAAAAGTATTCACTGCTTCTACCCAGCATACATGTACGTCATCAAGGGACAGCATTGAATCACTTCATGCAAACAACTGTGTATAAAAATGCAATTAGAGAAGCAAATGCACTTTATCAACACCCAATGCACACATAGAGAGTGTGTGCTTAAAGTAATTGTTTTAACAGTACCTAAAAGTATTTGCATGTGGATGTACATACAAATGTACAACAAGCAATTTATCTAGTTTACAATGTTTATATGCCTTATTCTGCTTAACCAGACGTACAATGTAATGTACATAATCCTGTAAAACTGTATTCTAAATATTTTAATTTGTGTTGATTTTTAATTTCCTAACCTTCTAGGACACAATTCACAAATATTCTAATGCAATCACTTGGCAGCCAGTACACGTATATGTTTGTGTATTATGTTTGTGTATTGTGACAATTAACAATAGAAATATCCAATTAAGTTTAACGAGTGCAAAGTACTAACAGTAAGGGTGACCATATTTTATCTGCATGACCTAACAGACCCAGATTTTTCTGATGAAAAAATTGTGGCGGAAAAATTATGAAAATTAATGTTTGTAAGATGTATTGAAAACCAACAGCAGATTGGAACAATTTCAATTGAAGGAGTAAACAATAGCTGATTTATAGTCACTGTACTGACCAACTTAACTTCAGAGATTAGTGAAGAGAGAATCTGCTGTCTA